CTAGTAATGCTTCAGCTTGTTCTAATAAAGCGCCAGCCAAAACTGGAAAAAATAAGATGTGAATATATATTATTATAATTTTATTTCCATAAGAGAAAAAAACCAGAGTACTGACCGACAACACCCGTCGTTCCATCACCAATTTCATCATCTTGCGATTTTGCTAGTTGAACAAGTAATTTTCCTATTTCATGATCGACATCCATCATACTCAATATTGTTGCACCATCATTTGTAATTGTAATATCACCATCGGGAGAAACCATACATTTGTCCATACCTTAAAATGTTAAAATGTATGAAAAGAAGAACAAATTTATTTTCTATATGAAAACTTACCTCTAGGTCCCAATGATGTTTTTAATGTATCCGAAACAGCTTTACTTGCCAATATATGAGACTAAAGTAAGAGATGAAAAAATAAAATTCAAAATAAATTTGATATTGTAGACATACTTTATGTGCTTCAATACCGAATAAACGCTTTTTTGTATCTTGTCCTTTCAATATTAAAACTGGACGACCAAATTCATCAAATGCTAATGTACCTACGGACGGCATCTGTTTTGTTTTCTGACTATTTTAAAATGAGTCTACAAATGATAGAAAAAGAGAATTTAAATCTAGTAAGCATTCAATTTTCTACACGATTTCTACTTTTGCCTAAACAACATACATACATACATACATCAAGTTTTAGTTTAGTGCCAACAAAATAGGCAGAGAACGGGGCACATTAGATATGTCATCAGTGCTGTTCAAAAACAATAAAAAAATTCAATATTGCAGACTCATCACTTTAGATAACTAGTTGATGTATAAATATTAGAGGTTAATAAACAAAAAAATATAAATGGAATAAACAAAAGCAAAGAAAACCAGCAACAATTTTTTTTGTTTTGCCTCATGAAAAAAAAATCAGATGTCTGATGGAAAAAACTAATTAAATCATAGGAATCATATTCTATTCATAGAAAAAGAATAATTTTGAATAAATTTATTCAAGCGTTCGGTATACAAGTTCAATATGATAAAGCAACAAGACATTTCATTACATTAAGCATAGAGCCTAGTGGTAAGAAACAGAAAAAGTGAATATTTTCTATGATTTATAAATAGAAAAATAAATATAGAACTAGTACAGAAATTTATTTTAAAAGAAAATCAAACAAGTAGTTTTCTTTTTCGTCATCACATAGATTCAAATTATGTTCACGTTTTGTTGTACATAAAATACCGATTGTATTTTAAAGCCCGAAGGTGCACAGCACTTGAAAAAAGATAAGAAAGTATGAAGTATAAAACTGTGGTAAATATTTTATTTAAAAATAACTCGAAGTGTCAATATAAAACTAAGATTAGTTACAAGACTATTGATCTGCTCTTAGATCATCATCAGACATAAATGAAATTGATGAAAACAATTTTGACTTATCTTTTTTTTCATTCTCTTATTAAATATCGGTATTTCATATGTATAATCCTCTCTTTGGGTATAAAATTGTTTTCATCAATTTCATTTATGCTGATGATGATCTAGAAACAGGTCAAACATATTGTAACTAATCTTAGTTTTATATTGACACTGTTCGAGTTATTTTTTAAAGAAAATGTTTACCGCAGTTTTATACTTCATACTTTCTTATCGACTGTATGATGAAGAAGTTCACAAAATCTATCCAACTTTATATACTATTCTAAAACCCACAATATACAACATGGAGAGAATAGCAGACTAATACTAAACACAAAATTCTGCCTGTCACATTTGAATAATAAAAATTTGATTAGTCCGTGCAGCATTTCTTCAACACTCAAGGAAGATTTATGGTCAAATCCAAGCAGGAAAGCGGCTTGAGTTTTTTAAGGAATAGACAGGTTTTTTTTACTACAACTACTTTTCTAGACAGTATTTACGTTGATTTTCAGAACATATGTGCTTCCTCAGAGAGGAGAAGCCTTGCACATCATTCCTAGTAATTCGTTAAAAAAAGCTATAGTCTTTTTCCGATAAATATAAACGATCTGTTTTGGTATCCTATTTTATAGCGTTCTAAGAAAGATCAATTATAACTTTTGAGCTCAATAAAAAATCTAGCTACAAAGTGAAACAATAATTTCAGAATTGTAGTAGAAAGCTACTACTAAAATATTTTTTGTAAAATGTTGCTCAAACAAACTTTAGTATGAATGAATGAATTTATTGACGTAAAGTGAGAAATCATCAAAGATATTCGACCTGTAATGCGATAACCCCTGTCAAACAAACAAGATGCTAACTGAGAGAGTAGAGAAAACGAAAAAAACAAACTATATAAAAACGAATAAGTATAAAATAAATAGAAATACAGGTATAAAGTTGACTTGTAGACCAAAAAAGAAAGAATGTACTGCTTCAGAAGAGAAACCGTTAACACGAGAGGAATACGATTATACTTGGAATGATGACACCGTAAAGAAGGATAGTGAGGATGTTGAACCACAAAAAAAATAGAAAGACGACTGAGATGATGATAAATTTAAAAAAAAATTGAAGTCTGAAGTATTGAGAAAGATTTGAAGGAGATAATTGAGCAACAAGAGATAGGAACACGATAGTCAAATTTATGAGAAATAACAGGAGCAGCAAATTCATTTACAAGGTCCAGAACAACAGTAGAAAATGAATTATCTTAACGGGCACGGCAATAGTTAAATTTTGAAAGAATAGAACAAAAATAAATTTGACATCAAACTTCTGATGGAGCCAATCCAGCGACACGACTTAGTGCTCCCAGTTTGCACCGACAAGTAAGAGCCATATCTCTGGTTCATTCATTCCACTGCAGAACAACAACGCCGAGACAACGCACAAAAGAAACAACAGAAAGAGGAATATTATTTAGACATAATTGATTATAAACAAGCGGAGAGAGACTGAAAGAAAATGGAAGCTAAAAACATTTAGAAACATAAGATCAGTAGAGACCACCATGAAACTATATTAATACAAACTTGAACATGAGAAAAGTCTTGCAGTTAGAAGAGAGAGGAATAATTAGGAAAACATCATCGGCAAACAGACGCATCTCACAAATAGGACGAAGGTTGTTAATAAAAATAAGGAATAAAAGAGACTTAAGCATGTTGAGGTGTTAGCCGCGTCGCTGGCGAAAATTTTTTTTAAAGTTTTTGCCGCCGCCGCTAATCAGAAACTTTGTCAAAACTTTTAGAAATCTTTGAAAAAGGTTTATTTAAAATTATAACTGTTTTCTGTCGTCAGCTAGAGTAATGTGCAAAAGATAGGAATAAACATTATATTGTTATTTATCGCTAAAATATTTTACATACAACATTGATGAATGCTGTTCCGTTCGTCTCGCACGTGCAAGAAGAACGGTTCAGAAAAAAATTTCACGCCGCCGCCAGAGGTGAAAATATTTTTTTGAAATTTTCGCCACCGCTGGTAAAGTAATCGGCTAACACCTCTACTCAAGCACACCACTTTGTGGTACACCAGAAACAGAGAAGGAAGAAGATAAGAGATAGAATCATTCACATGCACTCAGACTACAACGAGACAGTTTTTCCAACAGAAAAGAATGAGAAACAGTGAAAAGCTTTCGAAAAATCAAAAGGTACACCATACCAGAAGTTCGAGATAAAAATAGCAAATCATCGAGAGTAGAATGATTAGGACGAAAGTTAAATCATTCATTCACAAATAAAAATAAAATGAAGATAAGTTGAAACAATGGCAACACCAGAAGAGAGAATTCCATCAATACCAACTGTAGACTTTTTAGCTAATTTTCGGACAAAAAATTCAGCATATTGAATAGAGAATTCAAGTTGACCCATCGTTGGCAGCTCTAAAGCGATAGACAGAATTTGTCCTTTCAGAGAAGAATAGCAAGATGAAAAATGAGAATTGAAGAGTTTGGCTTTTTAATTTTCATTTTTCATAGTGAGGGTTGTTCCTATCTGTAATTCAGATAATGCCAATGGTAAAATTGTAAAGAATGTGGCTAAAATCTTACAGATAAAGCGGCTGAAAAAATACTAACGTGTCAATTGACGAAACACACACGGTTCCACGAAAACACACCCTCAGGAAAAGAAAACATAACCTTTAAATTACATGTACTCTCAAAGAAGTAGACATTTCGAGCACTTTAAAAATAAAAATAATAAGAAGCAAGCACGAAAATAAAAATAAAATAATAAGAAGCAAGCACGAAAAGTAATTATTCCCTTGACTTTAGTCTAGGGTCTTACAAAATGGTTGTCTGTGTGTGTGTGTGTGTGCGCAAAATACGGAAAAATGGCTGTCAGATATTCTATGGATAAGCGAATCACAAAAGGTAACAGTAGAAAAAAGTTTTTTTAAATAAGAGAGAAAATATTCAAAGAGATCATCTGAAATATTTACTGATGTAAAGAAGTGAGCAGCTCAGCAACCGTTTTCTGTGGATCGGAGGTAGATGTCGCCAGATAGCAGTCAACTGTGACAACACAAAAAAAGTGGTCTACGGGTAATAAAATTGATAGTGTTTAGATAATCTATTATAACGAATCGATCAGAAATACTTCCAACCTCCTTGGAGTCTGCAGAGGGTGTGCAGAAAACCTTTTAAGTTTATATTACATTAGACGGTTTTTTTGGTGGAATCACAGAAGTTCATAGCGTTTCTGATCTATACTGGTTGCGAACGCCGACAGAAGGGAAGCGTGAGCATTTTGAATTCAGAAATAGTTTTAGACCTTTTGAGATTTTTGCTCTATTTATATTAGTTTACGAACCTTACACATGAAAACAGAAAAAGATCCAGAAGATGTCTTAGGTAGGTTTCCAGCGAGCGCCGACCGAAGGGAGGCGTGAGCATTGTTTTTAATTCAGAATTATGTTTAGACCTCTAGAGATTCTTGATTTATATATTAATATCAGACTACGAACCTCATACATAAAAAATGAACAAAACTCCAGAAGATGCCTTAATTAGGCCCCCAGCGAGCGCCGAATGAAGGGAGGCATGAGCATTGTGTTCGATTTAAAAGGCACCAAAGGACGTTCGCTTGCGCAGATCCAACCTAATAAAGTCAAGGGACCGAGCGAGTGGAGACGAGCGTTACCTTGTGTTATATTTCCTTGACTTTAGTCTAGGGTCTTACAAAATGGTTGTGTGTGTTTGTGTGTGTGTGCGCAAAATACGGAAAAATGGCTGTCAGATATTCTATGGATAAGCCAATCACACGAGACAAGTAGAAAATTATTTTTTACATAAGAGAGAAAATACTCAAAGAGATCATCTGAAATATGTACTGATGCAGAGAGGTAAACAGCTAAGCAAACGTTTTCTGTAGGCCGCGTGGTAGATGTCGCCAGATAGCAGTCAACTGTGACAATACAAAAAAAGTGGTATACGGGTAATAAAATTGACGGTGTATAGATAATCTATTATAACAAATCGATTAGAAATACTTACCACCTCCTTGGGATCTGCAGAGGGTGTGCAGAAAACCTTTTAACTTTATATTATATGGTTTTCAGGTGGAATCAGAGAAGTTCATAGCATTTCTCATCTATACTGGTTGCGAACGCCGACAGAAGGGAAGCATGAGGATTGTTTTAAATTCAGAAATAGTTTTAGACCTCTTGAGATTTTTGCTCTTTATATTCATAGTAGATTCGGAACCTTACACATCAAAACAGAAAAAGCCCAGAAGATGTCTTAGACAGGTCTCCAGCGAGCGTCGACCGAAGGGAGCTGTGAGCATTGTTTTGAATTCAGCAATATGTTTACACCTCTACAGATTTTTGATTTATATATGTATATCAGATTACCACGTTATAGATAAAAGATGCCTTAGTTAGGACCCCAGCGAGTGCCGACCGAAGAGAGGCGAGAGCATTGTGTTCGATTTATAAGTCACCAAAGGGCGTTCGCTTGCGCAGATCCAACTTAATAAAGTCAAGGGACCGAGCGAGTGGAGAGGAGCGTTACCTTGTATTTAATTTATCCTACGGTTTTCTGACGCTCCTAAAAGTTGCGTTTTCTATGGCAACATAAAAACATGGATCAGTATCATTACGCGCAGTTTGACCAATCAGTTTCACGTTTATTTTCTAACTGTCCTAAGTGCATAACTGGCTAAGTATTTTCATTTCATTTTGAAATGAGGACAGGTTTATCGACAAATGGTAACTACCTATGATTGGTATCACCAGAGTGCCCAAATCTCCTGATTTGACCAGGAGACTCCTGATTTTTAGACTTTTCTCCTGATGAAAATTCTCCTGATTTCAGGAGCTGATTTTTAAGCTTTTCTCCTGAGTTCTCCTGATTTTCAATTATTTTTATGGTATGATAATAGAAACAGAATGAAAAATGATCTTGTTGGTGCCGAGTTGAAAATTTTTTAAAATGAACAGTCATTACAATTGTACAGATTTTTATAATTATCTCTTAAATAATCAAGAAATGTTAAAACAAATTCGCTCATCAGAAAAATATAGTCATGCTGCAAAAATACCACGGACGGCGTAGCAAACAGTTTGTTTTCCATATTCGCTTTGTTTTTTGGTTCGGTCGGTTGCTTAAGAAATATTTGTGTCTGTTTTGTTTATACTGTTAAATAAACAGCTGGGAAAATACCAGTAGAATAAACTACATATGATTATATTTCTCTCGTTTTGTTTGTTTCGCTTGGAAGACAGACCTTCTCATTACTTACTTGGTAGAAAAAAGTGACAAGCGTTTGTGGGAATGAAAAAATTCCTTGTACAAGAAAAAACTGCCTGATACTCTCCTGATTTTTCTCCTGATTTTTTAGAAAAAATCTCCTGATCAACTCCTGATTTTTGAAGAAAAACTCCGGATTTTGAAAAATTGGATTTGGGCACCCTGGGTATCACTGTCAGAAAAGTGAAGTGACTGAACGGCTGAATAAGACGGTTCAAATGACTGATTCAGTCGTTTTAGCAAAGATTTTTGCGGATGAAACGACTGACTCAGCCACATTAGGGAAAATACGGTACATGTACTGTGGATGAACTTAAACATTTCTAAGGAGCATAAGACAGCGCTGTAAAGCGGAACTTCTATTAGTCTTCTGGTTTTCTTTACAAAATTGAAAGGTTTTTTGTGTTTGTAATTTGAAGAAAGCCTTTATTACCTGTTTTCCGCGGAGCTTTAATGTACGAGCATAGTTACGTTTTTCAAGTATCTGACGCTTTCACTGTTACATTGTGGATTTCATGCAGCATGGTTGACTAGGATGTTACTTATTTTTTAGAAGATGAAAATCTATGTTGATTTTGGTGAAAAAGCAACAACTATTATTTCAGCTACAAAAAATGCTACCGAAATACTTGAGAAAATCAAATCAGTTCTTCAACCAGCCGCTGATTTTCTAGTGACTTATTATGACGACGATATTAAAAAACATTGTATTTTTCATAGTTATGAACAAATTGAAAATCAACAGATTGTAGCAATGGAAGTAAAGTTGTCTAGTATATCCAGAACAGATGAAACATCAAAAGTTAATGATAATATATCCATACAAACAGTATGGAGAAAATGGACACGACTCAATCGCCAGGGAAAACATGGTATAACTATTTTCTAGTCCTATTTTTACTCGTTAAATTCCAAAAGATATTGTATTCTTTTTGCTTCGAATACGTGTTTCTTTTTGCGAGTCTAAAGCATAGTTGACCCTTGTTTTAAAAAAAACACTTGTACTTTTCTAGTCGTAGAAAGGCATGTGCTTTTGTATTCCATCTTATGATGGTGAAATTTTTTGTCGCAAATGTGATGATTTCTTTCGTGTAAGTGCAGTCTTTACTCTACACTTTTCAATAACTAATTAAACTATCGGTTTTTACTGATTCAACACTATTCTGCTTCCCAAATTTAATTTGTAACTTCAGGCTCATGATTTGTTATAATTGTTTCTGTTTTAGCATTCTTCACCATCATGCACATAATTTTACCAACTCATCGTTGTCATCCGGTATCAATAACCCTGATATATTAAAAGATTGTTCATCGTTAGATAAATTATTGATAGAACTGAATACCCATGCGAAACTTGTGTTGACAAATTTAAATACGTTAAGAAAACAAAAAGAATTATGTGATGTATTACTGATCATTGGACAGTCAAAAATTCCAGCACATCGAGCCGTTTTACCAGGTGAATACTTGAAAGAGATATATGACAGCATTAGCGGATAGTGATGAGACAGACTAAAGCGTCACACGTTACGCAGAATGAGGAATTAAAACTCGGAGATATTTAAAAAACGTAAATAGATTTGCCTCACTCATGTAAATTCGTAGAGTTCTATTCTCACATTGGTGTAAATATAATTTATGTTTTACTTTTGATTTATTTTGTCCCTTTCTGTGTTTTTGTGTAAATATAATCCCTTATTTGGTAGTTTCAGTTCTTTGATGTATTTTGTCTATGTTCTAGCTTGTAGTCCGTATTTTAAAGCAATGTTTACTAGTGATTAGCTGAAAGTCGTTTAACGAAAATTGTTATTCATGATGTTGATGAAAGTGCAATGGATTTACTCATTGAATTTTGTTATAGTTCAACAATTTTAGTTGATAAAAAAAATGTCCAAACATTATTACCAGCAGCTGGTATACTACAGGTAGTTTATCTATCATTTCCTCTCACCTATTTATTATTTATTATTTATTTATTTTTTCTCTTCTAAATTCAAGAAGTTCAAGATACATATTGTGAATTTTTAAAAGCTCAATTAGATCCATCAAATTGTCTAGGTATACGAGTATTTGCTGATACACATTCATGTAGAGAATTATTAAAAACTGCTGATAGATATACACAACATAATTTCAATGAAGTATGCACTAAGTTGCTTTTAACATTTATCTAGTATGAGAATTATTAGTATCGAATTATTTTATTATATATATTAGGTAAAAGAAAGTGAAGAATTTTTATTTTTACCAGTAAATCAGTTGATTGATATAATATCAAGTGACGAATTAAATATGACCAGTGAGGAAGACGTATTTAATGCCGTAATGCATTGGGTACAATGTAATACAGAACAGAGAAAACAATATTTATCACAGGTAGATTAATATGAATGAAATAATGCATCGGGTACTTCTAAATGAAAAGTGTTTATACTAGAACTGAACAAATCAAGCTATTTTTTTGGTAGACCCTAGTCTTCACTTGATTATAGAAGGGATTGACACCACTCACACATGGATCGATCTTGTATCTAACTTGCTGACATGAGTGTAGGACGTATCTAATTCTCATGTATATTACTTGAAGTTTTAAAAGCATATACAACACACGTTTTTCGATTACTTTTAAATCAGGAACATTTTGTTCTTCATCTGTATCGTTATTATCTGTCATTTCAATCTCACAATCAATTTCATTATCAGCCATATCGATGTTGTACTTAAATATGCTGGAATTTGCAGTATCATCTCCTTCATCATCGTCAGAGTCGCTAGATACATGCTTTGTTTGGCTCCAATGAGCCTGAAAACTTCTAAGATTTTTAAATGTAGTATTACAAGCGCATTTCAGTAAAATATCATTTCCATTGCTGTGATTATTCTGTACGTGTTCGATACATTCGTTTACCCGAAAATAATCAATATTACAACAAGAAAACATCTGAAATATGTATGGTTGTTTATTTATGTTTTTAGATATTGGGCAATTTTCAAAAAAAATTTGACAATTACAATAATGTACAAGACGAAGTGAGAAATTTTCTTGATAAATTAAATATTTTTGAAGACGTAGAATCACAATCACATGTAAGTCATGACCAACCAACCAGACTGCTATCTATATATGCACAACGTTTCTTGTTTTAGCAAACTGATGCAGATTTATTGGCAATTGACGTATTTTTGTACAGACTCAATGCAAACAAGCTATTTGATACGGTAAGTTTATTGATATTAAGTTTATTTGTTCTATTTTGAAAGGCTTTCTTAGAGATCATTGCCTCATTCCTTTGGTATCTACTTAACATCGTCAAAACAAGATAAATGGAATATTAAAGGGTATTTGATGATGAATCATGTTAAATGAACCTAACTATGAAATCTGGTGGAATTGAAGATCTTATTGTGTTATGGGCAACGTTTTTGGCTTTAGATGTTGCAGTAGAACATCCATGCCTGAAAATGATCGAAGCCATAGTCAACAAAGAAAAAGAAAATTTATCAAGTGATTTGCTTGAATTGTCCCAGAAGTTACGTTATTTTATTAGTTAACTATCAAGTATTTTTTTTTACTTGTTTAATTATCAGTTTTGTTAAATTCTGTAATCCCAAAACAAGTATTTGGCTAATATACGTAGACAAAGTTTCTGTTTTTCTACAAATTATCGGTGTTTTTAACTTCATTTTCTATTTTTCAAATGTCAGATATAATCGATCATTTTTGTTTACACATAATCATTTTATGTTTTGGTTGATCACATTAATTTACAGATATAATCAATGAAATATTTTTTATTTTCACATTTTTGTATACCCGTTTTGATTTTTTTGTCGCTTTAATAACAATAATTTCGTTTTGTTACTTTTCTATACTGTTAATGTGTCCAAAGTTATATTCATTAGTAAATATATTTATAAAGATTTTTACTTCTCTTGATACGAATCGGACACTTTTCATCTCAGCATACATAGTTTCTATTCAAAAGATACTGTTACGCCTTTTTCTGTTCAGTGAGTTTGATTGCACTGATTCTTCATGCTCTACTGCCTTTGAATTATTCGCAGGGCAAGCATTTAATTTTTCCAACTTTGTAATGTAGTTACCAGCACTCCTTGACCGATTAAGCAAAGATTTTTGTGGATGAAACGACCGACCAACAGGTCTTTTATTACCTGTTTTCCGTTGAGCTTTAACGTACGAGGATAGTTACGTTTTTCAAGTGTCTGACGCTTTCGCTGTTAGATGGTCAATTACTCGCTCTATTTTAAGCGTATTAATTATTTATATTTTATAATCGTCTTTTTTCTCTATCGTCTTTCAAAACAGCTTTACTTCAGTTACTTTTCCAGTGAAACGTTTGTCAGTTAAGAATTTCTATTTGTTCTTTTCTTGCTTATTTTTTAAAAATGTTTTTTTCTCTTTTTACTACTTTTGATTCTAACCTTAGTTGTCTTCTTATTTTGTTCTTTTTATTACTCTTTTGGTGTTGTTTCGTTTGAGTCCTTGTTATTACAAGTCGGTGACCTTTGATGACTCAATCACTCACCAGTTTTTTTCATTAACATTACAATTTTCATAATTATTTTTTTAAACAGAATTCGAAAAAAGCTGACCAGGAAACCGAACAATCATAAATTGAAATTGTTGCTGTACTAGAATTAAAACATCTTTATCACGACTTATTGTAACTGAAGAAGAATAAATGTAGGAAGAAATTGAAAGAAATACCAAGTCAAAACGGTGAAAGAAAAACACATAATTACATCAATCATGCTCTAACTCATCTTGTATTCTGTACAAACAAAATGATTTATGTCGTAAGACAAAAATAAATATTATATAACTTACATAGTCTACAAAAATAAATATTATATAACTTACATAGTCTACCAATCATGCTTGAATCACTTGCAGGCCACAAACTAGATTTGCTACTTTTTAACATTGGTTTGCCATTTGAACTAATCATTAAAGTGAATGGATTTTGTCTTGTCGATAAACTGTTTATGTAATGGTCACCTAAAACAAAGATCAAATTTTGTGAACTACAGAATCAGGAGAAGATAAATTCCACTCAAAGTCACGCTAGACTTTCCATTATTCCACTTGATTTTAAGTATTTCAGCATAAGTTTAAAAAAGTATATGTAAAGACGAACGAAAACAGAATTTATTGATTATTGATTTTAGAATTTATCTTCTCCTGATTCTGTAGTTCACAAAATTTGATCTTTGTTTTAGGTGACCATTACATAAACAGTTTATCGACAAGACAAAATCCATTCACTTTAATGATTAGTACAAATGGCAAA